TTGCAAAAAGCAGCTATACGTAAGGCCTTCTGCGAGGACTTGCCAAAGGGGATTGTTCTTGAAAACTTCATCAGGGCAAGGCAATTCATCCAGCGGGTCCAGACGACCAGCCGCTCTGCTCCACGCCGCTGCGGGCTGCAGCAGTTTTGTCCACACTGACTTCCTAAGCACATGACGATAGAACTCAGTTGCAACTCGGGGAGGTATCTTAGCTACACATGCGGCTTCGCCCCAATTTGAGGCATCGGAGGCAACGATTCGGGAGCTAACTGGGGCTCTCAAATTTGCGGCAGCTAATGGCATGAGCGAAACCATTATCAACAAGTCAGATTTAACCTGGCCAGAGAGCGGAAAGGCCTTTCCAATCTCCTCCGCATGAAGGCATGCTTCAAAAAGGCTATCTAACAGGCTTAGGAAAGAAACGCCTACGGTACAAGAAAAAATGGATATGAGTGAACCAGCGATGATCTGGAGCAAATTGGCAGTGCCGAACCCAAGGCTAACCAGCCTCAGTACCAATCCGGCTAAAGGAACTGCTCGCTTCAACGAGGCTCGCAAAGTGCCTTTGACACCATCCAAATCAGCCCCCCAAAAGGTGGATTGAGCTTCATCACGAAACCCTTTACCTACATTGGGCATTAGCTTAACATCGAGATACTTATTTTGCAACTTTTCGGCAAGAGCAGCACCTACGGAACCACAACCTAGAACATCAGTCCTGACTCGGCTCAAAGCTATGAAGTCATCGATGACAACACCTGTGGCTGTCTCACCTCTGGGTAGCGGCAAGTGCATGCTGACGAGGTTTTCTTTGGTGATAACTCCTGCTTGCAATCCTAGGCCAACATGACAAGTCTGCGCAATTTCAACGGCCTGTGTGTCACCCATGGCAAGCGTGTTGAGCGAGCCATACAGGATTGGCGATTCAAGGTGATGGTTTTTGACGCAGTGCAGGTGAGCTATTTCTTTGGAATTGACCTCTCCTACCAAGACATTCCTGCGGCTTCTGCTTTCGGATGCCTTGAAAAAGTAGTAAAAATCTTTAAGATCATTACCACTAGCCAACAAAGCCCAACCAGGTTCTAAGACGTATTTCAACAAAACATCGGCACTTCCCAAGCTTCGGACCCATCTAAGTATCGGAACTTCAAGGCAATTTGCACCACGGGAATCGAGTATCAGTCGATCTCGGTTGAGATCTTTTACCACACAAAAAAGGCCTGAGCCGAACTTGGTGGTGACTTCCTCTGGTGTGTGCACAGCAAATCTCCTAGAGGCGTCCAACAACTCAAACAACTTCACCTTCTGCCGTCTGGAGCAGTGGACTCGAACGTGGGGCACTTTGCCTTGAAATAACTCTGGGTCAATCCGATTACCTAACGGGTCATTGAAAACTGCACTGGTACAGGGATCAAGGTAAGGAGAAGGATCAAACTCGGGCAAGCCTGCAAATTGCAAACGTTTCGGATCAACTGGCTTAAATGTGCTCATTTTGTCAAAGCCTACTTCTCTTGGAACTTTCCATTGGAAAAACTCAAATCTTGATTTCTTCCCTGCAGGGCACCGGAATGGTACCCGCGGCTTCGGGTGGCAATTTCATGGGCATGACTTTCTAAATCTTTCAGGGCATCTTCCAGACTTTCAATCTTAGCTGCGGTGCGGCCCATGACATCTGCATCGATTGGTGAAACATGAATCCAAGCTTCCAGAAGGTGTTCGAACCGCCTAATAGCGGCCCATTGCAGTGCACTGAGAGACTTTCCTGCTTTCAGCGGTAGAGAGGCTCGAGCAGGACGATCAAGATGCAAGAAATTTAGAGCTATGACTATGGCATTCACCCCTTTCTTACGGGCAGCCTCTGCGGCTGACATCTTGACGCCTCGCCTGAAAGCTTCAGGGTATGGCACTGGCATGGGAAAACAGCCTTCTCGGCAAGCCGTCTCTTTGATCTGCTCAAAGGGAAACTGCGGGTCGGTCAAGCTACGCGCAAAGGACCCTAACCTACACTTACTTGAAACAACATGGCGAAGCAACGAAGCTAAAATGCATCGGCCTGAAAAAGTGGAGGCTCGGGCACCAGGTAAATTCTGAACATGAAAAATCTTGGACCGGCTATCATTGGGCAAATTGGCAGGCACCCCAGTCCTTGGCCCCTGCTCTTGCTGCGCATTATCTAGTCGGCATTGGTGCCTCCGGGGGCATCGGCCGACGTTGGAGCGTTTGCTCCTGCTTTGGCTTTGGCTTTTGACTTTGGTTTCCCTCCCCCCCCCGCCTTTTCCACGAGGTTGAGGATTCCCGTCTTCGTCCTTGTTGCCGGCACTGCTGCTGGAGTTCTGTCCCGGCTTGCTCAATTTCTTTTTGGCTTCTTGATATGCATCGACTTCCTTGACATGTCCCAGGAACACTTCCACCCACCTTGGATCGAACAATGCAGTGTGCTGGAGATCTTGGTTGGTGATCTGACTGCGGTGGCCGAACAGGTGATAAGGTGGAGCTGGTTCGAGCATGGCAATGTTCCCGAGCAACCAACTCCCCCCGTCTATGCTGGCTTGATCTGCAGCGCCGACGAGAAGGGCGCAACGAGCTCTTGCCTCCTGAGGGCGATCTTTCATTAATGCATCCCAGATTCCGGCAACCTGCCATGTCCAGCGAATGTGATTCTGAAAATTGGCTAGGCGAGATCGGCTGGTCAACCATCCGCGGGCACTCATTCCAGGGGCCAGGGGTTCTCCTGGCATCACAATCTGGCTGCTGAAATCTGATGCTAGTTGAGCTTCGATAGCACTGTAGATCTTCTTGGGATCGTCTTTCAGACACTTCTGAAGGGCACGCAAAGCTGCTGCATTTCGGCGGGTACCAGGAACCGTGTTGCTCTCTCCACTGCCTGCTGAGCCAGCACCGTCGAGCAAGTTTTCCAAGGCATCGTTCTTCTTGGTCTTTCCTTCGCTCAATCGACTGCAGATCTGCGTCAACTTGACTATGGCCTTGGCAACGCCAGAGTCGACGGAAGGATCTCCTTCCAGTTCTTCCTCTTCGACATCTGGCGCTCCTTCTTCTATCTCGTCTTCGGCTTCCACATCTGAGAGTTCTCTGGGTTTTCGAGGAACGTCTGCCAGTCGTTTGGGTTTGTCTTTCATGATTTCTCCCATCTCTCGCAGATGAGCCATAGGGACCCCGGCTTGCAAAGCGGCTTGAACAACTCCATCGTCCAATCCCATAACCTTTGAAGGTACGGCAGTTTTCACATTGGCCACTTTCTTGGCCGCAGGTTTGGGCTTTGCTTCCATGGGCGGAGGCTTGTGAGCACCTCCCTTCAAAAGCATCTCTAAACTGCTCTGGATATCTCCTAAGGTGGATTCTAGCTGATCTAGTCGCTTGGCCGTGGCATCGCCTTCGGCTCCACCACTCTCGGCTAAGAAGAAACCAAACTGGTCTTTGGCTATTTGCTGCAACGACTGGGCAAAAGGAATGACGGCTCCGGCATCGGTCTGGCCAAAACCTATCTCGGCAGGAAATTCGGCGGGAAACTCCAACTCTGCTTCTACGGTACTGCTGACGAAGCCTAGCCACACTTTGATCTGCTGGTCGTCGGCCAACACGGTGAAACGATCGGATTCGGTGCATGCTCCTAACGAAACCAAGACCGGCTTGGTCAGGGCACCTACGGGCAAACGTCTTCTGGCTATGGTGCGATGCCATACTGCTTGAGGCACAGCAATCAACAACTTTCCTTCAATCTCTGCAACAGATATCACTGAGGCAGATTCGGAATGTTCAGGGTTGAGAAAAAGGCGGCCAACTTGAAACTCTTGGTCAACTTCTTCACCACTGACAACAACAAAATGTCGAGGCAAAATGCCTCTATCTGGAGATGGATCAATTTCCCCCTGGTCATCACCTCCTCCGTCCAGGGCGTCCAAAGCATCCATTGCTACGGCGAAATGGCAGGCCAATCCAAGCCCGCTGTGCTCGCATCAACTTTGCCTCGAGAACAAAGGGCGCGAACCTCAGCGAACTTGGTGGTCACACCTGCTGAGCTTCGATTTGACCCTTCACTCGCTGTTCGACCTGGGGCAAAACTATTCAGCCGCGCCCGCAACTCGATCAACTGATCTTCCTGCCTATCGCACTTCAGCCGCAAAGCTTTCACTTCTTCTCGCAACTCCGTAAGCTCACTCCTCAGATCTTCACGTCCAGAATGGCTCATGCAACGACCCGATATGGTGGGACCTTAGGCGGTGGGGGTTGATCGGCAGCAAGTGACTGCAGCCGCCTCAGCACGAATCGCCTCCACTTCTCTTTGGCTAGCCAACACAAGTCCAGGATAGGTCCAAATAGCAATCCACACAGAAAGCCAATCAGTCCAAAAACCCAGGGCAGATGAAGATCCTCAATGTTGATATCAGGGCAAGGGATGCAGTTTAGCAAAGGGTCAATCCCAGGATCGCTATCAGATTGCAGGAGTAACCACTGGCGTGCAGCTGTCAACAAGAGGCTGGATATGGCACCACTAGCGGATCCAACGGCTAGGGGGCGGTTCATGAAGGTCCCTTGATGTGCAACAGCTGCAGTATTTTCATCAGTGGTACATGGGAACATTACAGTACACAATTGGCACGACATAGTCGTGACATGAGCGAGGTCTCACTAACGGTACACTTTGTGTATGAATCTTCAACTTTTGTGTGCGCGTGTGGGCGCGTGGGCGTGTTTGTGTGCATATGAAAACTAATCATTGTTCGGACAAGCAGGGAGCAGGCTTTTATGGAAACTGGGGCAAAGGACTTGGCAAAAGAGCTGGGGGAAGAGAGGTGGAGAAGGGAATGAGGCAAAAACACTGGGTTTAGGGAGTTCACATTGATCAAAACTGTACAGAAATCTTCAAAAGGAGCAGGACTTTGGACTACAAAAATGGTGTGTGCACATTATCAATAGATAAATCAATTATCACAAATTATAACTATATATTACCTGTGAGTGTGTGTGTCTGTGTGCCCTGCCTCCTCGCCGGGCGGTGCGCATCCTCCAAAGAGCTTGTCCATCTCCTCCTTCGAGGAACCATGTGCCAGAAATCGCCCCAGCTGGCTCTACAGCTTGTCAAATCGACTCCATTCATGAACGTGTCCGTCTAAATCTCTCAACGAAAACCTCAGATATGAAGAAGTGTTTGACAATCCCAATTGGGGAGGTTTCATTCATTCAAGAGGTCTTAGATTCTGATTTCAGACCGGTCTGAGCCCGCCCCCGCCACATCCAAATCTTTTGACTCGCCGATGGCTCTCCTCATCACGGTCCTCAGACCGTGCACCAAAGCCCAGGGTGGGCGGCAGCAGTGGGACCAGGTCCTCGTGCCTTTGCACGGCGCAATTCAGCAGCAAACGCACGAAGCTGAAAGGCGTGGGCACCCGCAAGAGCAGAATCTTCAGGATCCTCGGCTGTCGCGACAACGGTGCTGGGTGGTTTTTGGTTGTTCATCCACCGCTGCGGCCGTGGAACAAACGCATCATCTGACACAGGTGTGGAGGTGTTTGTTTGTGTTTTGTCGGTGCTTCTTTTGGCTGTGGGTCAAGACCAGGAGACCGACCGGTTGCCACTTCCAGGCCAAGCGGACCAGCACTCCAGGTTTTACGGTTTGGAGGGGGGCCGGTCGTGTGGGTTCGGTAGAGTTACACTTCAATCAATTCCCATGGCTTGGCTGAGGCGCCGATGAAAGTCCCTCAGGCTGAATTTCTTCGAGTCCTCACGGCACACGAGCAGCGCCGAGCAGCGGCGCCTCTGGGGACCAAAAGCTAGTTCCAACAACACAATCTCAGACTCAGAACTAGAACCCCCCTCCACGCATGGAAAGGCCCTCTCTGGTCGTCCCTTCTACTCACAAACAAAACGGATCAACCAGAGTCCAGGAGCAACAGCCACTTCCAACGGCATCTTTGCCATTCCCCCCAACAGCACGCGTGAATCCCAACGTCCTTCTGGACCCGTCCTTCTGGACCAGACCCGTCCTTCTGGACCACTAGACCCGTCCTTCTGGACTAGACCTGTCCTTCTGGACCACTGGACCCGTCCTTCTGGACCAGACCTGTCCTTCTGGACCACCATCAACACCTCTGCAAACTCTTTGGCTCCCCCCTGCTCTGCCGCCAAGGACAACAAATCCACCAGCCATCCGTGCGGAATCTCTTTCTCGGCCACCATCTCCAACATCTTTGCCAGCTGCTTCGCCCGTTTCAATTTCGCCCACGCCCTTGCCAAAGCGCACCCGCAACGGACACTGCGGGCCAAAGAAAAAGACTCCAAAGGAAATGGAAACAGGTCACGGTTGCCTCACTGTCTTGAACAAAAACGTTCCCAAGGTGGCATAAGCCGTGCGTTTGAGAAGTACTTGGTGTGTACACCCGGGAAGATTAACATAGAACCTGGAAATGGACCTTCGGAAGACTAGTTTCCTCTAGAACCCAGTGGTTTTCACTGATTCAGGTTCCATGTTAATCTTCCAGGGTGTACGGTCATTTCGCGATATCTCACGAAATAGAAACACGAAGGGCCAAGTTACAGGATTTCTTCTAGCAATGATCAAGCAAAAGTTGTCACATGTTGCGGAAATCCTCAATCACAAGAGCTCTTGTCCTGCTGCTGGACAGGCCAATTCAAAATCGCACCAATGGAATTCCTGCCAAGATCAGGAGCCCATCGTTCCATTTGACCATGTTCGCCTCCCACCTAACCAAAAGGACCCTCCAGTTCTTTTTCCCTCTTCCACCCGTCTGTCATCCTCGTAAAAAGGGCCGGAGGTGGCCGGCTTCTTGCCAGGCGTCTTCTTGCCAATGGCTTCTTTCAAGTTTTGCTTCTTGCTCTGGTTCTTCCGCTGTCCTCAGATCAAACCCTTCAAAAAGCATGCAATGCCTGACCTCGCATGCCACAGCCTCTCAACGACATCGAGTCGAAGACGGGCTGACGACCATCCGTGGTTTCGAACGTTTTGGTCGTCCGTTCCGCCGGTCACTCCAGGCCAGTGCTTGTTGGTAGGAGGTAACCCCGAAAAGAGTTCCCCATCGGGGAACCAGCAGGATCTTTAGAGGCGTGAGGCGATCGCCCAAAGCTGAGGCGATCTTTAGGGTGAGGTGGAATTGATGATCTTGATCTTCTCAGAATTCACAGGCCTGGAACTTCCAGGATTTCACAGGCGTTTTTTTCCTTTGTTCGGCCCAACATGGCACAACACCAATTCTGAAAAATCTGAAAAGAACCGCCGTTCCATGTCAACGCTGCCGAAACACACCGTTTTTGGTCTGTTGACCCATGAGCGATCGGACGAGTTGCCGTTGGGTCAGGAAAGGTCAAAGGTCGATGGTTTCAAACACTTGGATAGCGGGAGCACCATCAACGCATGGCGGTCTTCCAATGCGTCGACCGTCTAAGTCCGGTCGAAGACCAATGCGTCGTTGGCGGTTTTGAGAACGGAGCTTTGGAAGGATAGAACACCCAGCCATACTGAATTGAATAGGCGGTCTGAAATTCTATGGCGTCCTCTCTTTTGTCCGTGATGTCACGACTAGGCGACCAGAAACGACCAAAACAAAACGACCAATGATGACCAATGTGTTGCAGTGGTCTGTCGCGGCCAACACGAACGGGAGTGGCCGAACGATGGTTCGGAACCGAGGCGCCGAACGCTCCGAAGGAGCTGACCATCTTCAGATGCCGCTTGCCCTCGAGGTGCTGCCGAAGGCTCTTGGCACTCGAGCAGGTCCTCGAGCAGGTCGGTCCATGCGGTCGATGCGGAAGACGATCGAGTCGGTGGGAGTGGAACTTGATCGAGTGAAGGAAACAGCGAAACGGGAAGGTTCTGCACCGTCTTTGCTACGAACGGAGCATGGACGCTAGGGCCAGAGGCCCCTGGCCATACTAGGAACGGAGCATGGACGCTACGAACGGAGCAAAGGGCCTCGCTACTAGGAGCAAGGGTGGCGTCAAAGAAGTCCACGTGGACTCGGGAGACCCTTGAGCACACGTACCCAACCACGTGCAGCCAGCGTGTCTTGGGAGGGCGTGCAGCCAACTGTCGGTCGCGGAAGATCGGAGAACCACGACACCTGCGAAACTCCCTGCGAAACCGGTTCCGGAACCCCGACTCCCATGCGAAGTCGCATGAGCAAGGATGAGACCACGGTGCGTTCGGTCCAAGCTGCATTCGGCAAACGGGGCAATACCAGGGCGACTCTGCATCTGCGCCAGTCACAGTCCGTGTCTTTTTCTGGCCCGTGGAGTAACCGCCTTCCCTGAAGACTTCCCTGCGCGGGAAGTCTTTGCGTGGCGCGCCGCTGTTCCTCGGCGAGCCGCCAAGCCTCGCAGAGGCCAGTAACTCACGACGAATGTCGAGGAGGGGCACACCCACCCTGCTCATGTTCTGAAAGGGCGACCAGCAGCGGTTCCAAAAATGGGAGGGAAATTCTCTCTACCGAGTCAACTCATCTGTCTTGCTGAATCGCGTAGAGTTCACCAGCTTCGGTTTGCCACAAACACCGGGGCGCCCAGGAGACGGGGGAGGTCCGTGATCCGTGGAGTGTCGTGCCGTTGAGAAGTCTAGGCGGGGATCCACCCTCCCTCCAACAATTCCTGGAAACCATGTTCCTCTGAGACCTCTGCAAGCAGCGGGGGTGTCAAGTTCCATGATTGCTTGTTTGAAGAAAGAGTAAGTAAGCATCCAACATAACATGCGCGCGCGCGCGCACACTCACACACACCACCCATAACTCCTGACATCACACCCCTGCAGATCTATTTGCACTCGTGAGTTTAAACTCACGAATTCCGTTAAACAGTAGTGCTCCAGGCAGAACATGAAGCAACGCACGTTTTCCGCACCATAAGAAGGGCCCAACCTTCCCCCTCTCCCTGCCCCTCGATGAAGCTTCTTTCAAAAACCTGGCCCTAACCGCAGTGGGCGCACACACTCCCTCGACACCGCGACACTCGCCACTCTTGGCCGCCCAGCGAAACCACTCGCCACTCTTGGCCGTCCAGCGAAACGCCAAGAGCACAGCGGACCTGGCGCCTGGTCCAACCCAAAACCTGGTCCTGAAACCTCATTTGAGATCATTTAGAGTCGTGATTTTTGCCAGGATCCAAATCAGTCACATGCGTTGGCTTTTGAGCAACTGCCTGCCCGCCCATTCGGCGACGGTTTTGGTTGCAAATGTTGGATCGAACCACGGTATGGACCAGGACACGCACACAGGGAGTGGGAAAGGATGTACTGTAGTGCTACTCATGGCCAGAAAAGTGGCCATGTGCAGCAAACATCTGAAAGACCTGGAGTGAGGGTCAGGACGATTGGGAGGGAGGTGACCTGGCCTGTTTGGGTGTCAGGACATCCCATCTTGAACCGCTACGTGCCTGGCTCTCCGGCGAAGCCCCACGAAGGCTGCGCAGTGCGCCGCCAGCAGCGGAAGACGGTGCAGGGCAGTGACCGGACGGCGCGGAAAAACGGAGCTGACGCTCTCATCCCCACCTGCGGGCGGCGAAAGAGAACACCCTGCGTAGGGGTTCCCACAACTGGCTTCTGAATAAGAAGCTTTGGGGGTTGTGGAGTCTAACTCATTATACCTTCGGAGGATGCAGGGAATTCGTCGCGTGCATTGGATTTCCTCCCCCTCGGAACTTGTGGCACGATACGGTACTTGTTCTCTTGTTCTCGTGCTCAGGTAAAATCTATTACAAGCCAAAGGTATGTACACTAGATCGGCCCTCTATTCCTACCTCACCATCCGCTCCCTGGACATGCCACAACATCCCTCCCCTCACAACATCGGTCCGAACAAAAAGAAAAAAAGACATGCCAAACAAGATCAAACAACCAAAAATTCACACCACTGGCGCCGAACTTGGAGGATCTCACTGGGACTCAAAACCACCCAACTCCATGTGATCCCTGGAACCCTCTGCCTTCAGCGCATGAGTGGCACCGCACCGCCGCACGCGTGGCGCTCGCGGCGCTCACGGTGCTGGCGGCGCTCGCGGTGCTGGCGGCGCTCAGCGCCATGGTGGGCCATGTGTCGGAGGAGCCCAATGGCTGGGTCATGAGACAGGGGGGAAGTAGGGGGCAAGTGAGACCATGGGCTTCCCAAAGACCAGTTCTGCGCGCATGGATCGTGAGGTCGGCCGGACTCTTCCCAACTGAAAAAGAGATAAAAAGAGGCGCTCTTGAAGAGCCCATGTGCTCTGCCCCTCTCACCCATCCTATCATTCAAGGAACTACAAGACCTAAAGCAGGCGCGCCGACCTTTTGCAAGATGAAGGGACAAGCCATCC